TTCTAGTGTCCTGTTAGGAAGGGGAAAGTACTAAAATCATTTTCAATAGCAATATTTTCACAGAGAAATATAAATACTTGTGAGGTTTTTTAAAAAAAATAAAATTATATTAGATTCTGAATGGAGAAAGTAAATATATGTTAACAATAAGTATTTCTGTTCGGTGTCTCTGCTCAGCAGGGACAGATTTTCTCATGCTCCCTTTAAGTTCTGCTTCTTTTAATTATAAAGAAAGATGAGGAGGCAAGTAAAAGTCTGTGGTAAGCCACAGTTTTTCTCTCTGTTCATGAGACTTGAGGCTTATGACCATACAACCCCCCACTTCCTGTTGGGTGCAGTGTAAGAGTTGAGGCAGTACATATGCGCACTGCTGGATACTCAGTCATTGAATGCTGAGCTGAGCAGAGCAGACACACTCATACAGAGGGACATGTGTCACTTGCTTCCCCGAAGTCTGCTTTGTGTGTTGGTGGTTTTGGCCTTCTCTGGTACGGATGTTTCGCAAACAGCTAACCATATTAAGCAGGAAGTATGGCTCCTGGCAAATGGTGCTTCACACAAACCTGAGGGGGTACAAGGACTGAATGAAAGCAAGCAGAATGTATCTCTGGGGCTTAGGTTAATCTAGTTCCTCCAATGTTTTATTCTAAACATTATGGTTTCACCTCTGTTCTCTAATGTTTCCACAGGGTCATCTAGAGCCCAAAAAGCAACTCAAGTACAACGAGTTATAAACAAGAAGGAAGGGGAACAGGTCACCTTGGACTGTTCCTATGAGACAAGTAAGAGTTTTTACCAGCTTTATTGGTACAAACAAACTCCTAGTGGTGAAATGATTTTCCTTATTCGTCAAATTTCATCTTCTCATCACAATGAAAGCAGTGGCCGCTACGCTGTTATCTTCCAGAAGTCAGCCAAGTCCATCAGCCTCATCATCTCAGCCTCACAGGTGGAAGATTCAATGAACTATGTCTGTGCTCTAGGGGAACCGGCTCACAGTGTTTGAAGTGACAGCACAAACTTAACAAATACAGGAGTTCTTTAAGCATAGCCCCTCGGGGGAGCCCTGCTGAGAACACACCTGCACACCCAGACAAGAAGGCCCCAACCACTGCTACTTTGTGTGCGGTCAGAATCAGAAGTATACTTCTAAATAAAGGACTCTTCTATAAAATTTGGAAACAGTTATGAGCATCTTTGCTTCTAATAGATTGTCTTGAATTTTTAAATAAAAATCATAAAATCTATGAAAAAATATTTCTACAGTCAAAATCTTATATTATAATGACTTATACTGTTGGTTTCTCTTAAAGATAACAGCATACATGCAGGTACTAGCAAAGAACATAATTTCTTTATGAACGTTACACTTAGAGAAGAAGGGCCACCACAAATGAGGTAGTCAAAGATAAATTTTAAGCAATTCACCTCATGAAATTACTTGTAGTCACTGGGTAGTCCCTACAGTCTTTGTCTTTATAGCTGGTACTGAGTCTGCATCACTGGCAGTTGGTTAAACTGAGAGTTGGGAAGGATGGTCCCATCAGGGCAGGCTCTGGGTGTGCTTAGACTCGCAAAGGTCAGAGATCTAGTGAGAGTCACAAGACTACTTGGAACCTAGAATAAACTTGCCTGTTGTATAGCAGTTTGCTCAAAAAGCAAACCTCCCATACTAAAGGTAAGCACATTAAAACACAGATTGTTAAAAGGTAATTAAAACAATGGTATATTTTAAGCTACGATGTTAGAGATGAGGTAAAACAACTGGATGTCCTAAATGGAAACAGTCTAACCCAAAGGAAGTTTCTTATGCTCACAAAGTAAGCAACCCAAATGTTAGAGGAAGACCCCAAACTGCCCAAATTCACTATTCTTTTCCCTCCATGAGCAGCTATAAGCAGTAACAAGTGCTAAGGGACATTCTTAGACAAGCTGAGCTGCCGAAACAAAGTGGAAAGCAGATGTAACTACCTGGGAAGAGCATCCTCACAACTACTGAGTTACCTGTAGCTTGTGTAGTACACTTCAGGCTTCCAGCTTTCTTGAGATAATTTGGAATTTTTTTTTAACAAATATGCTTGAATTTAGAGAAGGAACGAGCCACACTCGAACTTCGAATTCAACTTGAATTTTTATTTGAGTTTGACCACAAAAAGACCATTTGTCCGTTATGTTTGTACAGAGCAGCAAAAATAAGCACTTGGGAAGGTTTATGAAATTCAATCCTTTTGCAGGTGTGCTACACCATTAGGCCAATTTATTCTTTTTCTTGGGACATTTTCTCTTGATGATTCATGGTTCTTCGGATATCTCATTTGTTCAGTGATCATTAGTTTCCTTAGTTGGATGATTTTATTTTACTGGAAAGAAAAAAGCAAAACCCTGCTCTCTTTTAATCAAGAGGTCTCTCTTGTTCAAATCTAATATTTATCAAGCTTTATGGTATCTGTGTCTTTTCTTCTCCTATTACTATATAACACATTTCCTGGTTCCCATTCTGAGGTCAATACATCTTTAAAGTGTACAGACTGATTTAAATCAGAAGTTTTTTCTACTATCCAATGTCTTTCCATTGCTGTCATTCCTTTCTCAATAACATTTAAAAATTCAAGGTAACAAAGTGTTGTGCAATCTATCTTTGGGGCCTCTATTACCCCTTAATGTTTATTAAGCATATCTTTTAAATTGCCATTAGCTCTTTCTATAATTGCTTGTCATGTAGGATTGTGTGGTATATCTGTAATATGCTTTATGTTGTAATATGCAAAAGAGGTTTCTTTTTCCTAGAGAAATATGATAAAATATTGTCATTTTAAAATATTTTAAAAATTTTATTTGTATAGTTATCTCCATGATGGCCATAGCTTGTAACAAATGTGTGACTACAGAATCAGCCTTTTCAGAACTCAAACAGTTGCCCATGGAAATCCTGAATATGCATCTTAGGTATGGTACATATATTTATTTTTCCAAACTCTGAAAAACGAAAACATCCATTTGCTAAATTTCATATCTTTGAGTACCTTTTGGGTTACTTCTTGCAAGCAATGATGGTTTGAGTATACAAAGAATAAGTAGAACATTTCCCTATACTTTCTTTGGCTTGTTGCCAGGTAATAGAAAAAAACTTTCTTCAAACCTTTGTTGTTAACATGGTATTTCTTATGAAGTTATGAGGCTTCGAGCACATTTCCTATTAATAACTGATCAGTTTCATCATTACCTTTTGCTAGAGGGCCTGGTAGACCTGTATGGGATTTAATATGTGTTATAGGTAAGGGATGATTTCTATTTCTGATTACTTGGTGTAGTTGGGTAAATAACAAAGCTAATTCTGAACTATCTGAAATAAGTTTAGCAGTTTTAATATGTAAAACAACTCTTTCTGCATATTAAGAGTCAGTCACTGTATTGAGAGTGACTTGAGAAAATCTAATAATACCTTGAGAATAGCATATATTTCTGATTATTCACTGGAATAACAAGGGATTTGGGCCACTTTAATTACGTTCCCTGACTTTTAACCTGCCTTTCCTGGTTTATTTGTATCAGTATAGAATGTAGGAGCTCCAGAAATTGGTATTTCTCACACACTGTAATAGAGTTCAATTAACTCTTTTTATAAACTGAAGTTTCTTTCATTTGAGATATTTGTTTCATTTGTTGCTAATTTCTCCCCCCACATATCTACAAACTCTTTGCCAATGTTCATTTTCTGCCCATAATGAGCAAATGTCAGCATTATAAAAGGTACCATAAATAATTTATGCTGGATTTATTCCTGTGTTAGATGTCAGGTAAACTCTATCTAAATTGTTCTATTACCAATAGAAACTCGGGAGTCAAATAATGGTATAAAAACCTGGTAGAACAAGAAATCAGTAAATGAACGGCCAGCTGACCCTATCTCTGTCCATGCTTCCCAGATCAAAATGATCTATGAATCTTTCTAAGCCCCTCCCTATTTTTTCCTGTGTCTCTCTATGGTATTCCCTGGGTCCTCCTAAATATCTATGGCTAATTCCAGTCAGCTACTCATTGACTCTCTCCCCTCATTCAAAGCTAACTTCACTAACAATCTCAGAGTTCACAGTGTGATCAAATATCCTACAATAGGTTGGCTTTAATTTCACCAGGAGGAAGACGACAGGACTGTGAATGGCAGCTGCATATAAAACCTTTTGTGAATGGCTTCACACAAACCACGTAGAGTGTGCAGTTCACACAGGAGCCAGCAGATCCTCTGAGGAATGGTCTGTGCTGTTCCTGACTATTCAGCTATTGAACCTGATTCTCAGACCCTATTGTGGATTTTGAGTTTAACCTATTTTTAACTTAATTTACTCATTTCTACTTAATCTAATAGGGGTTTATTTCTTTTGCACACCAGTGAAACCCTTTATATACACACAATTTCTTTTAAGCATTGGGAAAAACATTTTTTTTTTAAATCTATGAAGCTCACAGATACATTTTAATTTGCGTATCTTACTTATCATTGGTGTGTATATACACTCATCCAAGAGGACGACTTCCTATAGCTGTGTTCTCCACTGTGGGTTCTGGGAAGTAAACTCAGGCCATCAAACTTACATGGCGAACTCTTTACCCAGTGAGCCATCTCTCTTCCCTCACTAGTACATTTTCAAAAGTTGTAGTTACTTAGGAACTCTAGCAAGACTTTTCAGAAGTATTCTGTAGATTCTGGGCTTCACCATTCTTCTCCACTGAACTCTTACTGGAGTTAATCTGTGTGTCTTCTCACTGTGTGCAGGAAAAAAGACAGAGCAAATAAAGCAGGCAATTACTGCAATCTGCACACTCTCCATCCCATCCCAGAACACGTTCTAGTAGCAGTATGCTGTGGCCACCATTAGATGGCAGTGTCTCTCTGTCAGAAGGGTGGGGGTTGGGTTGGGGGTTTGTGGTGAACCAAGCCTGTCTCTGACTGGCTAAGCAAAAACCTGAGACTCTAAGGACCAAAGATGAAATATAAACTCAGCAATCAGAACTGATTCTTCTGTCTTACTCACCAGACTCCACTTCAGTGTACAGCAGTGTTTCCTGTGACATCAATAAGGAAAGAATGAACAAATTTCTGGAAGTGTCTTTGATGACACTATGGCTTCAACTGGCCAGTAAGTTGGGGCTGATAGTGATGGGAATGGGGAGACCTAAGTTCAGAGGTCATGTGAATGAGAAGTGTTCATCGGAAACGCAATTTGAAAACATAATTACTGGCTCTTGTTTTCTGACCTGTGCTTCTCCGTAGAGGTGAACAGCCAACAGGGAGAAGGAAATCCTCGGGCTTTGAGCATCCAGGAAGGTGAAGATGTCACCATGAACTGCAGCTACAAAACATATTCAGTCACCCTACAGTGGTACAGACAGGACTCAGGCAGAGGCCCTGTCATGCTAATGCTACTGCGTTCAAATGAGAAAGAGAAACACAGTGGAAGGCTAAGAGCGACCTTTAACATCTCTACCCAGAGCAGTTCCCTGTCCATCACTGCTGCCCAGGCTGCAGACACTGCTGTTTACTTCTGTGCTACAGATGCACAGTGTGCAGCAGGCACCTGCAGCCCTGACACAAACCCTCAGAGTTCTTTCCTAGACTTTAACAGTGGACAGCATGGTGCTTATGTTGTCCCATGAGTGTCTGCTGGTAACTGGAAAAAAGAACCTATTTAATTGTGGCATTTCTCTTTGTTTGTTTGTTTGTTTTTAGTTCCTTGGGCTGGGGCAGAGAGCAGCAGTACGCTGAAATGCCAGGGTTTACGCCATATGTCCTGGCCATGGCTCCTTAAGCTCAAAATCAGGACAACCTCTCGAATTTCTGCATGTAAAATCTGGGCCACTAAATATAAGGAGCCTTCAGGTTTTGGTTTTAATAAGCACTGTATCCTTGTTCAGGATGAAGAAAAAGCCATCTGTCCCTTGTCCTGTCCTAAGGTTTAGTTAGCTCCTTGAGAGGCCAAAATCATTCTTATATCTCTCCAGTTCCAAGACATGAGCATGGATCTGACATTAGACTGAGAAGCTTCTAAACACTTTAATTAAGCCTCTCCTTTTATAGTTGGGAATTGAAGCCATTGCACAGTAGGGAGGCCAAGATCTGGGTCTCAGAAGAACAGAACTAAACATCTGAATCATATTCTGCCTTTAAGAGTTCTGTGATTTTCAGGGAAAATGAAAATCTATACAAAAGTCAGTTCCCCATCCCTGTGGGGAAGCTTGTCCCTTGCGGCCACGTTCTGATGAGCCCTATGGAAGGGAGAAGACTGAAACTGCTGTGAGGAGACATGTAAGAAGAACAAGTTCCTTTAATAGTAAGAAATGAAATCAAGTCTGGAGAACATGAGCAGCACCCCAGATGAGGAAAATCGGGGCTAGGAAGGGGCAAACGGGATCCAGGTGACTGGAAGTCTGTGTGCTGTGACAAGATCATCTGTCCTTGCCATCATCACTGCATTCATTCTTAAGAACTAATGTTTATCCCTCCGTCTGATGAGCGTGCTCATCTATCACATTGACACACAACCTAGGAACCCTTCCAAGAGGTGGTACCCCCACAGAGCTTGTCCATCCCACATCAATCAATATTCAAGAGGTCCCACACACTCGGTTACAGGCCAGTCTGGTGGAAGCAATTTTTCAATTGAGGATCCCTCTTTCCAGGTAACTCTAGTGTGTGTCAAGTAGAAAAAAAAACCCACATAAGATGTTTTTCCAATAATGTTTGTTTCATTAGAATGTTAATGTGTTGTTAAGATTTAGAGAGATGGTCCTCTACAAGCACACAGAATGGACTGGTCTCCTCTTTGTGGACCCTTACCATGCCCTCTAGGCTTTTAGGTGAACTTCTTTTTAGCAACCAGAAAGAAGAACATAGGACCTTGTAGGGTTATTGATGTAGCAGGTTGGGGAGGAGAGTCTGGCTTCTTTTACTTAATGCCCTCCAGGTCCAACAGTTTTGCTGAAAAATGACAGTTTTATTGGTCTTTTTGGTTGAATAGTTTTCTTTGTGTTTATGCTACATTTTATCCATCCCTTTGCTGATGGTAACCTAAACTGACTTCATATCTGAACTGCTGTGAATAGAGTCACATAAACATAAATGTGTGCATGAGCATGTGCACACGTGTGTACAACTAATGTGTGCCAATTTCACCTTCTCTGAGTGTGCTCACAGAAGTACGATAAACAGTGGTTCTGCCTTTGATTTTCTGGAGCATTTCACAAGCACTCCACAGTGGCTCTACTTATTTACACCCCCATCAGCATCCCCAAGTCCCTTTACGTACATCCTCGTCAGCACTTCCGTCTTTGACATTGTGAGTGAGCCGGTGTCTAAGGACAGTTTTCTTTTGCATCCCACCAACGGCTAATGACACTGAGTAGTCCTCATCTGCTCCTTGGTGTGTGTGTATCTTCTCTGTTCTGCTCAGATCTTTTGTCCACTATTAGTTGCATAACTTCATTTGTTGCTGTTTTCAGATTAACCCTAGGATCATGGACTATAGGCTCAATGTCCTTTGTTTATAGCAAGTATCCACTTATGAGTGAGTACATACCATATTCATCTTTTTGGGCCGGGGTTACCTCACTAAGGATAGTGCTTTCTAATTCCATCCATTTGCCTGCAAAATTCAAGATGTAGTTGTTTTTTTCCCACTAAATAGTACTCTAATGTGTAAATGTGTCACATTTTCTTTATCAGTTCTTCGGCTGAGGGACATCTAGTTTGTTTCCAGGTTCTGGCTATTACAAATAATCCCTCAAGATAAATCCCACCACACTGAACCTGATAGAAGAGAAAGTGAAAAATAGTCTTCAATGCATGGGCACAAGAGACCACTTCCTAAATATAGCCCCAGTAGCACAGACACTGAGGGAAACAATAAATAAATGGAAACTCCTGAAACTGAGAAGCTTCTGTAAAGCAAAGACACAGTCAATAAGACAGAAAGGCAACCCACTGAATGGGAAAAGATTTTCACCAACCTTACATCAGACAAAGGACTGATCTACAAAATATATAAAGAACTCAAGAAATTAGACATTAAAATTCTAAGTAGCCCAATTTAAAAAATGGGGTACTAAACAGAGAATTTTCAACAGAAAAATCTCAAATGGCCAAAAGATACTTAAGGAAATGTTTAACATCTTTAGCCATCAGGGAAATGCAAATCAAAACAACTCTGAGATACCATCTTATACCTGTCAGAATGGCTAAGATCAAAAACACCAATGATAGCTTATGCTGGAGAGGATGTGGAGTAAAGGGAACACTCATGCATTGTTGGTGGGAATGCAAACTTGTACAACCACTTTGGAAATCAGCATGGCGCTTTCTCGGAATATTGGGAATCAACCTACCTCAGGACAAATTTTATTTTTAAAACTCTCATGAATGATTTGGTGCCAGTTACGTTTTTCTGTAAGAACCTCCATTACTGCAAAAAGAAGTTTTTTTGATGAGCAGTAACAGAATACATATTAAATATGTAATATATATTGAATATACAGTGTCAACCCAACTGGCATAATTTCAATATTTATATATAGTCCATATATATTGAAAAGATATAANATTTATATATAGTCCATATATATTGAAAATATATAATTATATATTATATTATATACATATAATGAAATTATGCCACTTGGGCTGACAATACTCTCTATAAGAGCCATAGACTAACAAAAACTTCAGTACTGTGACTTTCAAAGTAATATAGACTATTGCTGTTGCTCTTAGTTACCTCTCAGAGATGGAAGGTGAGTCCTTATAGGTGATCTTCACTTTGGACACAGGACTCCAAAGATTCAAATGGATCTACCCTGAGAGTCTGCCTCCCACAGCTTACCAATCATGGTACCAGAAGGAGTTATGTAAGCTGCTAAGAGAAGAAAGCTACCAGTAGCTCCATCCAGCTGTACACCGTGAACACAGCAATAAGCAGCATGGTAAGACAGCCCTATCTTGTGACTGCAGTATTCAAACCTTGATGGTAACCAACAGCTCTTTAAAGGTACTTAAGACCTGAGCAACATTAAGGGAATTGTGCCTGGTACTAGAAACTTAGCCAACTACCCGGGGCTGGTGAGGTCGCAGATCTTAGAGGCGAATATAGAAAATATACTACTTCCACTTTACTAGAATGAAACAGGCTTTACTACACCTGTCTACAGAAAGGGATACCAGCATGGAAAAAAGGAAACCAGCACAGAGAAGGAAAATGGCCAGTGTATGATTTTATGAGAGATGGAGGTTTTAGGAGTCTTTGAATGTGAGAAAGTCATGCCACCTTGTCATTCAATAAAATTTTGTGAATTTACTTTTGTTCATTCTTGCATGAAACACACACACATAGATAGAAAGACAAACAGATTGTGTGTCTGTGTGTGCTTATGTGTGTCTGTGTGTTTGAGTTTTCTTTCCATGTGTAATTTGACATGTCACACATATAACAGATTTTGTTTCTTAGAGGACATGATGTCAAAGTTTTCATTAAGAAAAACTTATTTCTTATATAAATTTTCCAAATCTCTATTAGAAATGTAGAAAGAAAGACTGAAGTGTAGTTCTTCATTCATGTTAAATTGTCAACCATCTCTTTTCTCTAGGAGAAAGGATGTATCAATAAGACCAAAAGGAGCATGGCTGTGCCATCAACGTATTACTAGACTTCATAATAAATCGCATGTCCTATATTCTCCATCAAAAGAGAATGATCTGAAAGCCCATGTTAGTTCTGATGGCTCCCAGCACGTTATATGAGACCAACAGTTCCTCAAGACACTCTGGCATTCTCTCACGCCCATACAGGAAGGTGTGACGGGACACAATTAAACCTGACCCATAACTGCCAACTGCATTTCCTGTTGAGGTGGTGGCAACTTGTAGATTAGTATCTGCATCTGCACTTGTTCCTCTTGAGCACAAGGTACAGATTAAGATCTGGGTTAAGACAGAACACAGAAAGTTACAGCCAAGACAAGAGCTAACAATATGCTGAGTCTTAGCCTGCTGGGAGCAATCGTCAGCTTCATTTGTTTGGGTAAGCATGTTCCCCAGCACTGGATCCTTATCCCTTATCCCTCAAGGTCATAGGGAGAAGAGGTCATTGTCCTCTGCCGAGGCTAAGAAGGGAGGGATCACCAGAATTCTGGCTCATAAACTGCTTCATCCTTTAGACTCCCGTTGCTACAGTTAAGGCTGATGTCTCTGTGCTCTCTCCATCAGCAACCAGCACGGCCCAGAAGGTAACTCAGGCTCAGACTTCAATTTCTGTGATGGAGGAGAAGACTGTGACATTGGATTGTGTGTATGAAACTCGGGAAAGTACTTACTACTTGTTCTGGTACAAGCAAACAACAAATGGGGGAATGGTTTTCCTTATTCGGCAGGAGTCTTACAATGAAAATGCAACAGAGGGTCGTTATTCTCTGAACTTCCAGCGTTCACAAAGTTCCATTGGACTCATCATCACTGCCACACAGATCGAGGACTCAGCAGTGTATTTCTGTGCTATGAGAGAGGGCACAGTGGCAGAGGAGTCTACAGGAGCCCCATAAAAACCTCAACCAGAGAGAGGCTCTGCAGAGAGACTCCACAGACGGGGAGAGGCGGGGCCTGGGACAGCACTGGAGGGCTGAAACCTTATTCACTCATGTTGAATGTCTTTCTTTATCAGTCATGAGAAGTGTGCGTGTTCAGGACTGAATGGGTCTTCTGAGTATATATTATGGTCTCCAGTTTAGTGTTTTTATGGGACTGCTGAGTGATGAAAGAATGGGCCTCATGTTGGTACACCAAAATGTAGTTGAGATTTTATTTTTTTTCTACATTCCACCCAGCTCCCAAATATGCACAGAAACTTATTCTTTCTTATGAATGCCTCGCCTTAACTTGGTTTGTTTCTAGACAGCTTCTCTAATGTAAATTGTCCTGTTTCTCTTTAACTATGTTTTGCCTCTAGGCTTTTTATCTTTCTTTATTCTATAAACTTTCTTTGCTTCTTACCCCATGGCTGGCTGTGTGGCTGGATAACTGACCATATCTTCCTCCCCTTCTCCTTTTCTTCCTCTTCATTCCTCTATTTTTTTCTAGCCTGGCTTTATTTTCTTACTTATTCTCTCTTCCTGACAGCCCTACCCATTTCTCTCTCCTGCTTAACTATTGAATTTCCAGCTCTTTATTAGGACAATCAGGTGTTTTAGATAGGCAAAGTAACACAGACTTAGAGTTAAGCAAATACAATGCATCTTTGCTGCAATAAACAATTGTTCCACACTACAAACAAATGTAACACGTCTTAAACTAATATTCTACAACAATGAAGCCTGCCTGGGATTGACATTGGCCCTCTGCGTATATGTAGCTTGGTATATTTGTAGAACTCCTGATAATAAAAGCAGGGCTGCCCCTGGTGCTTTTGCTGACTCTTGGGGACCTATTCCTCATGCTGAACTGCCTTGCCCAGACTGAATACAGGAGGAGGCACTTGGTCTTATGGCAGCTTAATAGGCCATGATTTGCTGATGCCCATGGGAAGTGTGGCCCTTTCTGAGTAAATACAGAGGAGGGGTGCATTGGGGGGATGGAGGGGAGAATGGAAGAGAGATTGTGAGAAGTAGAGGGAGGAGAGGCTGTAGTCAGGATGTAAAATTTTAAAAATTTAGCAGAACCAGGGAGGAATGCTGCTTTCTGGTTTGCTTCTTGTGGCTTTCTCAACTTGCCTTCTCATACAAGCCAGGACCATGGAACTGTCAAGTAGTGGAATTGTCCACAGTGAGCTGGGAAGTTCCAGATCAATCAATAATCAAGAAAGCACCTTCAGAGACATTCCCACAGGAAAATCTGAAGGAAAAAATACTTAATTGGGGTTCCCTCATCCCAGGTGACTCTCATTTGTATCAAGATGACAAAATCAACCATAGAATTTATCCTTTATCAACTTGACACCCAGACATCATTATTAAAAAAAAACCTTCCTTTCTTGTTATTTCTAAGATCTCATGTTAATATCATGATATAAAGCATGGCGAACTTTAAAAGTCTTACAGTTTTTAAAATAGTTGAACACTTTAAAAGTTCAATCTCTTTAAAATACCCAAACCCTCTTTCAGATTCAAAAGATATATATATATATAATTTCAAAAATAAAGGCACAGTTACAGTCAGAGCAAAGCAAACCCACCATTCTCCAGTGCAAATCAGATAATATCACTCAGTCTCCAGTCTCTAGAGCTCACTCATGATCTTCAGGGTTCCAGAGGCTTGGACGGTTCAATTTACCTGGCTCTTCAATCCAAGGCACACATAGCTTCTCTCCCATGCTTAGGCAATCTCCACTCCATAATTACTACAGTCTTGGTGATCATCCACAGAAGTCATGACATCTTTATCACACTGGGGTCTGTACTACAACTGAGGCTTTACCTTTATTAATAGCCTCTGACATTATCTTCAGAGATTCTGTTCTTACCTCAAGACCACAAGCCTCCAGTTCTCTCTATATGACCTCTTCAGTCATTATGTTTTTCTTGAAAGACATTTATTTATTACTGACCAAATTTGGTTGCCATCTTAAGATACAGTTTTTGTCCCCTCTAGACCACATCTGTGTGTAAACACTGATTAAATACCTCTTAGATTTCATCTTAATGATACTGGTATCTTATAATTCATAGATAATTCTTCAGATTCACCTCACTAGCATAAACTATCTCAGTAAAGCAAAAGTTTCACTTCAGAGGTGTTGGTCTCTTGTCAATCAAAGCTGATTGTTCAGTCCTAATTGACCAGAAACTACGGATTCTTAACTCAAAATATCACACAAATATTCCAAACAGAGTTTGTGGGGGACTCTCAAGCATCCCTCTGAAACTCTGCAAACAGGGCATCCATTGTTAGTATTCTTATCATTCAAACTCCCTCAACATCTCATTAACCATGGCCAAAACGATCCAAATCCTCTACTTTTCAAATATAAAACATACTTTAAAGTATAAAACACCTGGGCGGTGGTGGCACATGCCTTTAATCCCAGCACTCGGGAGGCAGGGGCAGGTGGATCTCTGTGAGTTCGAGGCCAGCCTGGTCTACAAGAGCTAGCTCCAGGACAGGAACCAAAAGCTACAGAGAAACCCTGTCTCAAAAATAAAAAAAGAAAAAGAAAAAAAAGAATCCAATAAAGTATAAAACACCACATGGTCATATCCATCAGAATGGGCACCAATTTTCTGTTTCATTTACTTTCCATGTTGTTAAAAATAAAACATTGACCAAAGAAACTTGAAAAGGAAAGCGTTTATTTCAACTTACAGTCTGTAGTCAGTCATTGAGGAAAGTCTGGGCATGGAATCCAGGCAGAAATGGGAGAAGAACCATGAAGAAATGATGTTTATTGGCTGGCTTCCTATGGTTTGCTCAGCATACTGTCTTATGCAGTTCAGGATGGCAAGACTCACAGTGAGGGACCCCCCACACACACACACATTAACCGTTAATCAAGATAAGGCCCCACAGAATGCACGCAGGCCAACCTGATGGAGGCAACTTTTGTGTTGAGGTTTTCTATTCCCAGGTGACTCTAGTTTGTGTCATGTTGACAAGACTAACCAGACCACAACAATCACAACACAATTCTAAACTTCCTATTTTGTAAATCTGCCCACAGGGGACACTGTTTCCAAATAGCAAATGACTTTTCTGTAGAATAGAGCAAAGATGCAAAATGCTTCTTCCTCTACTGCTATAGCAAGAGTCTCTTGACTCAGCGTATTTTAGATAATGATGAGGGAAGACTCTCAAATGCCAGAGGAAAGCTGATGGCCAAGAATGGCTCTTCCTGCCAGGCCCTTTGATCTCCCTATGATGAAGATATCTAAGTGTCCTTAAGCTCAGAGCAACCTCTGTACACTTCTCTTGGTGTCCTGGTTATATTTGTTTTCTGGAGATCTCCCAGGAAAGAGTGAGCTGCTTCTTGCTCACATGGTGACCTTGCTGTCCATCCTGAAGCTTAGAGTGCTCTGTGAGCGTCACTGTGCTTTTGTCTATCTTCACAGAAGAAACACTGTGCTGCCTCGCTCTGAACAGAGACTTTCCTGTTGACTGAGTTCCCCACACAGCACTGAAGCTGCAGGATGCTGCAGAGCCCAGGTGGTGCCCTAGCCTGATGGCTGCATCTGTGTATTTGCAGCAGCTGCTCTGGAACTGAGGGGCAGCTATTCATCTCTCATGGTCCTTTCCTGCATGTACAACACCTTCACCCAAGCTTCCAGTGCTTCCTGAAGCTCACACCAGGAAGCCAGCCTGTCTAGGGCATGGAAGGCTTTCAGGCTGAGGAAGGAAGGATGGAAACTCCTACCAGAGGGTCCTCTGACAATGGAATGGAGGGAGCTGGGTGTTCCTCTGCCCTGAGTCACAACTGCAGAACTGTACACAAACCACGTGGGACTTGCAGAGTAAGAGAAGAGGGTCCCAGTCTCGGGCACTATCAAGGATTTGACATGATCTGTAAAACTCTACAATGCCTTTCTCTATTACAAACACACAGGGCATTGTCCCTGCAGTCACCATGTGCCGTGGCATACCGGCCCTCCTGCCCCTGTCACTCTGGAACTCATCAACTTTGATTTGTTTTTGTCACCCCACCTTCTCCTTATGGGTCTTTGATTGTAACAGGAGTGTCCAAATGCACACATTTTTATCTATCCAAAGAAAAGGAGATCATTAAATCCAAATTACATAATAATTATTATCTTGTTATGCTGTATGATTAGAACATCTCCTTTAAATTAATTCAAAGATCAATAAAAATATTTTAGTCAAAGCATTGTCTAATTTCTGGCTATAATAATTAGCTGTTTTTATATACCATACCCCAGTTGAGACATTTTCTTCTTTGAGAAACTGGTCCCTTATTCCTCAGGGATCCCTCACATGTTTTACAACACCAATGTCATCAAAGAAGGGCCATCTCCATCCACTGCACTCCATGCAGACTCTCATTCAGGTCTGGTTTAGGAGGAGCTTTGAGCTCATAAGGCTGGGAGGGAACTCAGCAGAGTTTGACCTGGCAGGGTTGCTGGGTGGAGCTGACTGGTTACAGGAGGAGGGACACTTCAACAGCCATCCTGACACCACAGCCCAGGGGTTGGTTACTTGCTTCTGTCTCCAGCATCCAGACAAGGACGATGAAGAGGCAGCTGTGCTTTCTGCTAGGGCTGCTGTGCACCCAGATTTGCTGTGAGTGTGGCTATCCACATTCAGGGGACAGAGAGGATTCTGTTCAGCACATGGTGGGTGGGAAAGCAGCTCAAGGCGTCCTGCAGAGCTCCCACCTTCCCAGAGGATATTGGGGGCAGGGTTCAGGGTTCTGTGGATGCTCAGTGATCTCCATCTGTGTCTCTTTCTCTGTTTCTAATCAGGGGTGAAAGGGCAGCAAGTGAAGCAGAGTCCTGAGTCCTCGGTTCTGCAGGAGGGAGAGAGTGCAGAGCTGCAGTGCAACTTTTCCACCGTGGCAACCCAAATGCAGTGGTTTCACCAAAGTCCTGGGGGACACCTCATC